TCAGAATTCTAGATTTTAATTGGGTTTAATTGATTTTCGTCAGAATTTTCCAGATTTATACTACTTTCGTATTTTGGCCATATCTCACCCTACAAATGTCAGATTGACTCCGTTGTTGTTGCGTTTTGCAGCTAACGGAAATGGATACAATCGCTATTTCAGCCATTGAAGCCCAATACGGATGAGAAGATGGTCGAAACCTGAGCCCAAGATGTTCTTTTTGCTGGAATTTTATTTTGACGTTTGGACTTATAAATTAAATTAGGACCCAATGTGTTTAGGGCTCAAGGCCATATTTTAATATTTTATTTTATTTTATTTTATTCAATTTTTATTTTATGTATGGGCTGAAGTGTTGGAACCGTAACCTGTTCTGAATGCGGGTTATTTAAGGAAAATTTTAAGAAACCCTTCGACAGTCAGATTTTGGAATTGAATAATTGTTTTGAGTTTTCTTTATCGAAATTCTGCACTCTTTTCCTTTCATCTTTTTCTTCTTCTTCTTCTATTTTTTTTTTTTTGATAACATTCTTCTTCTATTTTATTTTATTCTGAATGATGTTTAACCTTGCGATGCTAGGCTAAACACCTTTAATCAATCTAAGGTTAAAGGTTCGTTAGTTTATTTTAGAGGATTTATTTTTAACTTATTAAATCAGTTTCATTTTTTCCCAATTCAGGTTGAATATCATGCGATTGAAGATATTCAAACTGAATAATGCGATTGCATTCTATAAGGAAAAATTGATCATTAGATTTAATGGTCAGATTAATTTACCCGATGAACATATGTTGAACAAATCAAAACTACTGCGATCGCATAGTTGAGATACTGTATTCAACCAAACGCTAGGCGATAGTCTAGAGAGGGTTTCCAATTGAATTTGAGGATTTCGAATTTAATTGGGGTTAATCACAAATTGATAATTATCTTTTAATCCAACGATGAAATAAACTAATGAATCCTGATTCCTTAGGTTGATTGCTTTTTAATTCTGATTTTAAATCCAAATTTTAAATGTTTTTATTTAAATTTCAAATCAACAAAATCCCTCTTTCCCTTTTTATATTTTATTTTACAGAACGTTTTTTATTTCTAGCAGGTTCTTTGGGAGACGATCCGAGTTGTCCTATCACTACAAACTTAAAGCTCGGTAATTTGTGTGGGTTTGATAGCGCACGTCAGCCCTCCATACATATGTTCAAATGGCCAAAGAACTAAACAATCAATTTAACATTCAATTGTATGTTAGTCCATAGACTAACTATACAATCTAGCCCCTTATGCTTGTGCATTGGTCCCTACACCCCCACATAACAATTCTATATGAATGCAACTATACCATATAACTAACAAACCAACAATCATCCAATACATAGCCATAATCCCCAAAGGAGCATGGTGGAATATCAAAAGAGAATAATCCCCAAGATCCAAGAGTTTACGTCTTGAAGTCTTTCCTTTAAAAAATTTCTTCAAGCTCAAGCAATCTACTCTACACATGAATTTTGCTCAAAGTATCAATACCAACCAATTTCCTACTAGCACCACCTATTCCAAAGGTGAAGATATAATCAATCATATATATTACACATCAAATACTAAGCTAGTAGCTACAATTCCACAAAGAACACAAGTTTAATAACTTACCTTATTCTTGACATATTCAAGAATCAAGGTCATAGTCCATGAAATGATCCAATGCTTGATACTCCACCAAGATAGCACTTGGTTCAACACTACATAATCAATCAAACATAAAACCACCATCAAAATCTCCTTCCATTTCATAAACTATCAAAATCCATAACTTTCTTTCTAAGTCCATGAAACATCAAGATATATGATAGGTATTACATTAAACCTCCAATAAGTGTAGAAGGAAGCCTTTGCAAGATTTCAAGAGACACAACTCTCTTCTTACACAAATCCTCAAAATGGCGCCCCACACTTGAGAGGGATTTTCTGACCACTTATTGAAGGGAAATGATAGATGATCCTTACTCTTTGTGGTCTACTAAGCAACTTTCATGACACAATCTAAGCATTTTGATGGTTAACTCTCGAATAGGTATTTTGAGGTCTTAAAATGGTGAAGGTTCAGCCAAGCAAAGGAATGAAGTCAATGGATATGTGTTTTGTTACAAATGATGGTGATTAAGTGACTTAAACGATGTTTGACTAAAGTCAACAATTCACATTGGGTCATTTACTAATTTACCCTCCTTATTTAATTAATTCTAATCAATGACTTAGAACATCTAATATGTGTTTCTAAGTTCCCAAAGATCATGAAATAGTTTCTCACTAAATCATTTTCAAGTTTTAGATGAATTTTACATATTTGTATTTTTACCCCAAAATTTTCACCATTTGCACTTTTATCCCGAAAAGTGATTTAAATAACATAATTAGATTTCTCATCTAATCAACCTCTTTTAATCCTTAATTAATTCCCAAATTCACAATTTAATTATTCGCGTTATTATAATTACTTTGTTATCTACAGCTATTCATTTAACATTTTATTTTTTTTGGTTGCACATTTTATTATTTTTTAAATGTCCTTTTCTTTGACTATAATCTATGATTCATATCTGCTTGGGTAAACTGCCAAGTGATGCGAATCAGAGAATACGAACATTTCCAAGCTTTTGCGTTGGAAATTTAGAAGAGATATATTGTTATGTAGATTAACTGACATAAGATTCTTTTTAACTTAATTAATGGTCTCGGATTCTAGTTCTAAGTATGGAGTTGATCTAGGATAATATATTAAGCCCATATTTATAGCCTTCAACATAAAGAAACGTATCTAAGTATGGAGTTGATCTAGAATAATATATTAAACCCATATTTATAGCCTTCAAGAAACGTATCTTCAAGATGATATCTCAGTCAAACAAAGCTGGCCCTCTACCTCTGCTATGTTACTTCTTCAACTCTTTTGCAAAATTCATCTCAAGACATCTACACAAGAACCAATAGAGAAACTTTGTTGCATCACCACTTGCATGCAACAATGGGGGGCATCCCCCAAAGTTGGTCATCCTCCATTATAAATACAAGTATGCTAAAGATAAGGTATACATCTTCTACGTATGAAAACCTGTTTACACAAAATTTGACTTAAGCGTCGGAGTATTTTGCAAGTATATCCCCTACTTTAATCTAGTAAAAACTCATGAGTAAAAATTGCATCAAATCACTTGTAGCAAAAGTTCATCGTCAGCTGATGTAAAAATGTTATGATCAAGAGCTGTGTTAAAAATTTAACATGGAGAATTTTGATACCCTTATAAATTTGCCTGACTAGGTAGAATTAGTCGAATAATCAATAAAATTGTTGAGAAATTAAAAAAAAATTCACTACCACTTATTAGATGTGCTTGATTTTTTCATTTCATGACAGTTGGAGATAATTTACGTACAAAAAAATTTATATGGCTAAAAGCAATATGAAAAAGAAAAAGAAAAAAAGCCAAACTGTGATTAGCTGATCTTCAGTTTTAAAATGCAGTGCAAGTTTTCTACCAAAAAAAAAAATGCAGTGCAATTTTTTCTTTAATCCAACGACATCAAACAAGCATTGTGCCTCAAACCTCAATCATTAAGTGATCCTTGATTTAAATAAAATTATTGAATCTAAAATTATTTAAAAAAATACCAACTAAAAACAAATAATAAAAATACATTTTCATAGTTCAATAATTGTGGAGTCTTAGATTTTAGAGTTGTCCGTATCATAGTTAATGATGTCATGATATGGTCCAATTATTTCAAATAAATAACGTTATTTGCACATATTAATTAATCTTATAATGAAACCAGACAATATACATTTTGATATATTCTCTCAAAATTACTATATTTTATCATTTAAAAAAGAGAGTAAAATATGTCTATAAAAAAAGAGTAAAATTAATATAATAGCGTAAATGTATAAACAAAATTCTCCAGACTAAGGTAAACACATATACTCTTTTGATAAACCCAGGGCGAAGGAGGGTACAGAGCGGTGCTATAAAAATCGACAACCCTCTATCATACGGTTATATATTTGATCCCGTATAAAATCAATAAACTAGTCTTGTTGGCATCAATTTTATTTTAAAAAACAATCAATTTTGTATAATTCTGAACAAAATACTTAAAAATTACTACTAACGAAATTCAAATTTAAACTATGAGAATTATAAATTATAACAATTGAAAAATATTTCTACATTACTATAGATAAATTATCTGTATTTACTTTCAAAATGATATCGTTTTGGGATTGAAATATTAAAAACTTGTAATTATAAAGACTATAATAATCCTGAAATAAATTGAAATTACAAAAATATCATGATTTTCGTCGCAAAACGACATCGTATTAGATTTACTACAAATAATTTATCTGCCGTAACGAAAAGAAAAAACGAATCATTATAACAAATGCTATTAAGCCAACTTTAATTATGAGTTTTATTAATCTCTTTCTACATAAGATAGTTATCTTATGTGGTAGAGAGAAAATGGGTGGGTCCCACCATTACAAGAAAAAAGAAAAAGAAAAAGAAAAAGTGGGGTGCGAAAATCGAAGTGAGAGAAAATGAGATAAGTTACTTTCATGTGAAAGGAGAGTAATATTTCTCTTTAATTATTATCTGAAATGTTTCTAATTTTATACTTATTATATTTTATTATATATATATATATATATATATATATATATATTTAATTCATGCAGTGACTGAGACGGTGATCCATTAACCCAACCCGGACCACAGTGTGCGATTTTGTGTCATGAGTAAGACAGTGCACGTGTTGATGAGAAGGAAAAAAGGAAGCATAATATCTAGAGTGAAAACCAAGAAAAGTATGTGCAGTGTGTGAGAGTGAGTGTGGCACTCATGCCACTGGGCTTTTCAATTTCTATGTTGTGGCGGTGTGCCATCATATATCTATCTCTTTACCTTCTTGGCGTTTTCATAAATTAGTAAATTGCTCTTTGTGTTCTGTTGTGTGTGATTTCCGAAGCATTTGTAATGGCATTTCAGCGGCGGCGCCACCGCTATAACAATCGTATGATTCCGGTCATTTCTGGTATCGCCGCCGCTCTACTTGTTCTCTTCTCTCTCCTCACTTTCTTTTCTCCTTCTCCCAACGATAACCATCATATCAACCACTCCTCGGTACGATACTCCATTTCGATTAATAAAACTGATAATTATTACTGAATCACTATGCGAATTCCTTACCTATTTTTTTTGTTTTCTCTGCAATTATTTTCTAGGTTAACGTTGAAACGGATTACGCAATTGGAATTCCCGCCTTCCGCGTTCCGGTTAGGCTTGTTTAGCTTCTATACGTTGGATCTTAATTCCGTTGAGCTCTGTTTTTTTTTTTTTTAACATTTTAATTTAATGAGCAGACCGATGGAGGAAAGTTGGATCGCCATGTGTGGAGTTCTATGAATTCCGAGCACTTCCATGGATGCAGCGATGCGAGCAACAATTTTCCAAGTGCGTATTTCATTGCAATATACACATCACTTCAGTAATCTAATGCTGCCATGTACTAGTAGTTTGAAGTTTGGGAAATATGTCTTTATCTTCTGAGTTTCGAACTCCTATGTGCTACTTAGATTTGTTTAATCATTACCGATGAGTATGCTTTTCTTATGGCAGAAGCTCAAGTGATTACACAACCTAATCGATATTTGATGATTGAAACAAGTGGAGGCTTGAATCAACAAAGAACTGGGGTACTTTTGTTTTCTAGACTCTTGCATTATTACAGTCAAGCGAGTATTTGATATTTTGGTTTTTGTTTCTATAAAAAAGAGGGTCTGTTTTTAACCTTTCGATTAATATACTTCATTCCATAGCTTTTTTTTAGAAAAGAAAAGAAAAAGAAAAGTGAAATGAACTCAAAAGAAGCAAAATATGCATATGTCTCTGTTTAAAAGTGAAAGTGGAAACCAGATTAATTTACTGCTGTATATGATAATTGTCGTGGATGCACTTATTATTGCAAAGTATCTGCATAGTCAGCTGTCAGTGCTTACTTTTCCATTTTTGCAACTGGCAGATTACAGATGCTGTTGTTGCTGCACGAATCTTGAATGCTACTCTTGTTGTTCCGAAATTAGATCAAAAATCTTTCTGGAAAGATTCTAGGTCAGTTATGGAAGGAAAATTTATTGTCTGGCCTGTTTGTACAATTGTGCTATTGTTATCTGACTGGGTCGTCCAAGGATTGAAGTGTTGTACCATTCTCAGTGGTGATTATGTGAAATGATATCATATGTTGCCTTTTGCAGTAATTTCTCAGAGATCTTTGATGTCAATTGGTTTATCTCCTATCTGTCAAAAGATGTCAAAATAATCAGGCAACTGCCAAGAAAGGGTGGGAAAACATTATCTCCATACAATATGCGTGTTCCAAGGAAGTGTAATGAAAGATGTTATATAATTCGCATATTACCTGTACTCCTGAAGAAACATGTAAGTTTTTTATTTCCTGGCTGAAACTACTTCTGGTGCCAATATATCATATATTTCTACAATTTATTAGATTCTCTTTACTGGGAGGAATCATCTTCACCCCTTAGCTTGAGTGTTATTTGTTACTTGGAAGATGTCATATACTCAAATCTACATACCCAACTAGCCTCTCATCAATATAGGTGACTTGTCCATAGCAAATATGAAAACTCTGTGCTATGGAATTTCAGAAATTCTCAACACAAATGGGGACAAAGGACTCGAGGATCAATATTGTCTAATTTGATGTAGGCTGATTTATGGGAGCTAAATTAGGTCCTAAAATGTATGTTTCTTTTGTTTGGAAGTTGCTATGCTTGTCTAATTTAGCTCTCTTTATTTCGGCTCCACTTCTATTCTGAAACTCTGCCTATTTCATACATTTTTGTCAAACTTCCCACAGCCAGTTTTAAAAGAGGAGGGTTGTATTAGGTACTTGATGTAAAACTCGAACTGTTTATGACATGGATCAACGATACAATTGAAGAAAACCAATAAAGGCTCCAGTGAGAGAGGTGAACCAAATGGAAGATAATCTCATTAAAACAGATAGTCCCTCAGCATGTTTCCTTCTCTAGGTTGTCTGATGCACTTAAACCCCAAGTGTGTTATGCTCAAAGTACCTGATGAGTCAAGCTAGCTATCTCTATTCTTCCTTCATTATATATTTAAAATCTATGGCAGAAGTGCCTACCAACTACCATTCATTCATTAGATCTACAAATCCTGAAGTTCCCTAATTTTTTAATTTTTTTTTACAAAAGTTGTATTAGAATTAGAAACAAAAAACAGTACAGAAAGATGGAGGATAAGGAATCCTTAGACCAGAAAAAGAAAACCAAAACAAATACACAGAAACAGGAGTCTTATAAAACTAATCAGTGTAAAAGAGCTGTCCAATAATCTCCTGATATTAAACCGTGTCTGGACACCAAATAGAAGCCATCTAAACAATTCTATCCCAAAGCAAATTCAAAGGTGAACGAACATACACGGTTGAAGATACAACATTCCTTTCCAACCACATAAACCAAAAAATCCCATAAATCGCACAATGCCACCCTTGAAGTTCCCTAATTTTAACCTACTTAAATCCAAGTTGTTTTGCTTTTGTTAGAGAAATATAATGTAAAACCATTAATGTGGTCTTCACCTAACCATTTAAGCTTTTAGGTTAAAATGGTTCTTTACAAGATACTAGAGCCTCTGTGACTAAGTTCATGAGTTCGATCTTCACTGCCTTCATTCTATTGATAAATAATTAAATATTGTTAAATTTCTTAGCATAGGTAGGTGGGTCTGTGCATTATCCACCGGTTAAGCTCAATGAGCTCTAGTATGAGGGGTCATGTTAGGGAAATATAATATAAAAATATTAATGTGGCATTCACCTAACAGCTTAAGGTTTTGGTTTGAAATGACGCTTTACACATTCTAACTTTTAGCTAAATAATTTTTCCGTGTTAGACAAATTACACCTAAATTTAAAATTTTGTTTGTATTATCCTTTTTTGAATTTTCTTAGAGTGATTTTTGGTTTATCCAAAATGTGATGTTTTGTGTGCTTGAAACTTTAATTTGAGAAAGTTCATAAATGCTTGAGAGAGCACTAGTCAGCACCAACTGTTGCTTTTATTGCTATACTAATCCCGGTTGTTTTGGATCGAGCACATCTGCATATTTATTAGTTTTTATAAGTTATAAATGTATTAAATTTATCTGCCATTTAGTAATTGTTCACCATATTATAATGAACTGAATCTTTGAGTTTTGATCTGTTTATATTTTATGGAAACTGAGTAAAAAAATCTATATTTAAATGTATGAGTAATACTTTTAAGTTCTGATACAAATTTTTGATATGCATATTGTTTGAATATTTCATTATCCCCAAAAAGTATTTATTTTGCTTTATTTTGTGGCAGGCTGTTCAGCTCAACAAGTTTGACTACAGGCTTGCAAACAGGTTGGACACAGAGTATCAAAAGCTGAGATGCAGAGTTAATTACCATGCTCTAAGATTTACCAATCCAATACTTGCAATGGGTCAACAATTGGTCCATCGAATGAGGATGAGAAGCAAACATTATATTGCATTGCACCTCAGGTAGTCTAATTGGTTTTCTTTCCTTTATAACCTGGTTATCTATTCTATTAAGTTCACAAATTCTGGTCTCTTTTATCAATTAGTTTAGTTTATGTGATGACCATAAAACTCTAGAATATAGTGACACATTAATGTGTGGATCCTTGTTCTTAAGCATTTTCTTATGTACAAACCCTTGTAAACATTCATTTCGAAGCTGGATCAATTCTTACACTGTTGTAATACATGGATATTTATATTCCTGCTGGTACCCCTATTGAATGTGCTTTTTAAGTACAACCCTAAAATATCCAAATATTTTGTACAATTTTGAAATACAAGAATGATCAGTGTCATGAAGTATCTCTGTTTTGACTAAAGTGTGGCATTTGAAGTAGTATAAAGTCAAATAGGATGAGTAGCTGGACATTATCTCTATTCCCCAGATGTTTTTGAACTGTCTGACAAAGGGACAGTAACCTGGTTAGCTCTGATAAAATGGCCAAATCTGCGATTAATTTCAAAATTGGTTTGGTAAATGGAATTTGTTTAATGGAATAGGTTTTTGAGGTTTTTTTTTTTACTTGGCAAATTTGTGAAGGAATAAATTATGGGACTTGCTTCTTGAAATTGAGACTTATGCAAAGGATATACAAGGATTTTTCCTTTCTTTCAGCCCTTGGTAGCTTAATAACCTACTACACTTGAAATTGAAACTATGTACGTTTCAACACCCAGCTTGTACCATTCGACTAACCATTTGCATGTGGGATAGCAGAGATAGTCTTGTCATTTTAATTGAATGGTATTCATTCAGGAAGGGGAGTTTAAATTTTACACATGACGAAATCAAGTTTTGAACTTAGGTTGGCTACTTAATATATTTTCATGTCGCTGTTGTAAAATCTGTTCTCAAATTCAACATTCTGTGGACATGCATTGGACAATTTGTGACAAGATATATATCAAAGAAGGTGCCCACATGCTGGACATTATTCTTAGTAGCAATATTTTTAGTGTTCTTCAATATTTTAGAATTGAAAATGTTCTGGATGGCCCACATCTGGGCGGCCCAGTGACTTGGGCCCAAACCCCTTACCCTTTCCACATCAGCTCTACCGGCAGGTCGGTACCAACCCTCCTTCCTTCCTGTCCCCTGGGCGATTGCACCCCCTAGTTGAGACACCAAAATGTCTCACCTAGGGATACCAACCCTGCTGGAAGCCGCCCCAGGTGCCATAAATAGTAACCTCCTTTTTACAGAGGTAGCGTTAGATGCTGTCACCGCTGATGCAGTGTCTGCGCCACTGCTATCACAGCAATGCCAGCCAGGCCTGGCGTTCCCAGAGTTGACCCCCTCCACCTACTCACCCCAGGCAAATACCTCACTGTTGAGATATATAAAACCATTAATGTAGCCTCACCCAACAGCTTAAGCTTTTGGGTTAAATTGGTTCTTTATATGGTATTAGAGCCTCCGTGTACTGGGTTCGATCCTCACTGCCTCCCACTTTCTTTCTAGTGGAATTTCTTTCTTCGCACAGGTAGGTGAGCCTGTGCATTGTCCACCCTTAAAGCCCAGTGGGCTCTCGTGTGAAGGGGCATATTGAGATATATAAAACCATTAATGTAGCGTCCCCCAACAGCTTAAGCTTTTGGGTTGAATTAGTTCTTTACACTCACTCCTTATAAATACCCCCCTTAAGACCAGAGAGGGGCATTTTATGTATCGTTATTCTATTAGTTTGTAAACCTAGAGTCACACACACACTTCCCCCCTTTTTATCTGATAGTGATACTCGTACTTGCGATAGTACTTCCTAGCTTGGTCTCTACCTGTGCTAGAGGTATAACCCATATAGTGACTCTCATCCCACAAGGGAACATATTGGGCTTATAGACTCTACGGCTAAGAAGCACCGATACTCCTTAAATTTTTTTTCAACGTATCGGATACGCGTATCGGAAACGTATCGGACACGTATTGTATGGTAATCGACATCCTGTATCATCGAGAACGTATTGAAATCGCCGTATCGGTGCTTCATAGCTCTACGGTACAGAAAATATACAAAAAAATCATTGTAATCATGATATTTACACGGAAAGAGGCTTCGTGGAAATAAGGGTGAATTAGAATAGTCAATACTGAATAGTCATTACAAAGTTGTATATTTTTTTATATCATAATTTTCTAGGACTGGCCTGTAACCCATGCATTGCAGGGGTTAATTCTAACAAATATATGGACTAAATAAATTATATTATTTTATGATATTATAATTTCTCAATATTTTTGCTACCCTTGCCTTTATTATTTATCCTCCATGCTTTCCCATCGCGATATCATTTTTGATTTTATCCAGGATTCTTTTTTTTCTTCTTGTAATTTCCATTTTTATTTCCAAAATCCTCATGAAATAGAATTTGGCACTGGAGTCTCTTCTTGGTTTGCTTGAATCCATTAACCATCTTCAATGGATAAGGATTTGGACTTTGATTGGCACCGGTGAAGCTTTTGTTCATTGTTTTATTGATAAGAAGCAATGGCTTTTACATATAAGATGCAGTAACCTATGTTGAATAATTATTGAGATGGTTTCTAAATCTTACTGGATTTTCTTTTACAGATTTGAACCCGATATGCTTGCATTTTCTGGATGTGCTTATGGTGGTGGGGAGAAGGAGCAAAAGGAACTGCGCGCAATAAGGAGGAGGTGGAAGACACTACATGTAAGGATTACATGTTAAATGTTATACTTCTGTTAGAATATCTGGAATTTATCTTATAATATTAAGATTATATCTTAAAATAGTTTAGATTACCTTAGATGATCTCCTAAGATTATTTTGATATTTCTTTATATTTAATGATTTTTTTCTTATTTAATTAGGATAGTATTAGTATTAATCAGGATTAGTGCTTAGTAGTTTATATCACATCATTCACAACAATTTCAATATAATTTTATTATTCTGAGCATTTTCCTCCCTTTGTACCTAAATCCCTATAATTTCAACAACTAGTAACCATGATTTATTAGGAAATATTGAAAATGTCATAACATCTTATTCAACTTTTTGGTAGTTTTTTTTTATGCTTGGATGCACATGCAACCACCTAGTATTCAATATTAATATCTGTTATGAGTACACTGGATATGTGACCTAACTGCATGTTATCGTAGAATGAATGTCAGCAATGTCTTTAACATCTGAATAAACTTCCGTGCTATTAGTAGCAAAATGCTAAGAAAATAGACATTACTCTGTGAACTGTGAAGAATGAATATTCCTAACTATGTTTGCATATGGAAGCTGATTCTTAAAAAGGTATAGGTGGGGTGTAAACAAATCTAGCCAAGCCAAGCACTTGAAGCTAAGGGTTGGCTTGGGGAAAAAAACAAAAAAAAGAAGAGGAAGAGGAAGAGGAAGAAGTGTGCATGATACTCAAGCTTCACTCATTTATTTAAACGAGCCAAATTTAGAGCTCGGACTTGGCTTGTTTAAAACTATGAAGGCTGAGCTCGGGTAGTTTAGCTCATTTGTAACTTGATTATTTTTTTTTAGTTTATTAAATCTCTTTTTGAACTATTTTTAAAGTATATTGATTGAGTATTTAGTAGACATTTTTATGCTAGAAGTTGAAGTAAAATTAAGAACAGATAGAGTAAAAGAATCTTTAAACATGAAAGTTAGGTAATTATAATTCTTTAAATAGAATTACAATTTATAAGAAATGAAAATATAAACTATTATCTATGTCCATTTTCTTATCTAAAATTTTCAATTATATATATATATATATATATGTGGGGTAGGATCCTTTGACACTGATGTCAAATTTAAAATTTGATACTCGTCTGAGAGTCATTAGATCAAAAAAAATTGACGACTCTGATTTGTAGGCATATGACACCATTGATCTTTTTTGATCTAACGGCTCTCAGACGAGGTGTCAAACTTTAAATTTGACACCGGTGTCAAAGGATCTTTTATATATATATATATATATATATATATATAGGGATAGGATCATTTGACACTGGTGTCAAACTTTGAAATTTGACACCAAATCCTAACCGTTGATTTCCGCCAATCAACGGTTATCATTTATTGACATTAATGATTAATTAATAAGTGTAATTCCCAATAAATGATAACCGTTGATTGACTGAAATCAACGGTTAGGATTTGGTGTCAAATTTCAAAGTTTGACACCGGTGTCAAAGGATTCTGCCCCATATATATATATATATATATATATATATATATATATATATATATATATATATATATATATATATACACGAGTTTTTAATGTTAAGTTTATGATCAAGTTTAAAAGCTAAGCTTGGTTGTTTAGTAAAAGAAATGAGCTTAAGTCAAGCTTAAATATTTTACTTGTAGCTCAACTCATTCCCACTGCTAGGTATGGACTAGTGAATAAGGCTGAGCAATATTAATATGCAGGGAAGCAATCCTGATAAGCAAAGGAGACAGGGAAAATGTCCATTAACCCCGGAAGAAGTTGGTCTCATGCTAAGGGCATTGGGATATGGTTCTGATGTTCATATCTATGTTGCGTCGGGAGAAGTATATGGAGGGGAAGAAACATTGGCACCTCTCAAAGCATTGTTTCCTAACTTCCATTCTAAAGATACTATTTCTACCAAAGAAGAACTAGAACCATTTTCTTCATTTTCTTCCCGCATGGCTGCACTTGACTTTATTGTTTGTGATGAAAGTGATGTATTTGTGACAAATAACAATGGTAATATGGCTAAAATATTAGCTGGGCGAAGGTATGTCACGTTTCATTTGCGTCTTTTTTCTCTTTTCAGTTGATCACTATTGCCTATATCTCTTGGTTAACTTTATGAGCACTTCCTCGTAGGAGATACTTTGGGCACAAACCAACCATTCGTCCAAATGCTAAAAAGCTGTATCGATTATTCTTGAGCAGAAGCAACATGACTTGGGAAGTTTTTGCTTCTAGGGTCCGTACTTTCCAGAAAGGCTTTATGGGGGAGCCAAAGGAGATTAGACCAGGTAGAGGTAGTTTCCACGAGAATCCATCTGCCTGCATATGCAAAGATTCTGTGACCAAAGTGGATCAAAATTCTGGACCTGGGAAATATGGGAAGGATGATGCGACCAAGAAAAATGTATCAAATGATGGCTTTGATGTTGATGATGAGACTGAATGGCCTGATATGGATGATGATGAAGATCAGAGTGATGAGCAGGGTATGTTCAATGAAACAATTTCGGACAATGAAATTCTGAACTCTGAGGAACCGGAGTTGGAGGAAATTCTTTCGGATTAGTGAAGCTGCTCTGATTCCGCACTGCTGTACCTGTTGACTCTTTCATTGTGATTTTTATCTCCTAATATCCCGTTGAGCAGCTGCAGCTTGAGCTTAAAGTTGCATATAAAACCCAAACACAGGAAAAGAAAGAAGAAAAAACCCACACTTCTTTCTCATTACCGGCTGAAGTACAAGTGGCTGCATTTAGACATCTTTATATTTTAATTACCGGAACATTTTGTGCAATTTTATGGTATTGGCCTCAGTTTGATGATGAAAGGGGGTGTTTGGACGTCTGATTTATTCTGTGAAGAGGTGTACAAGGTCAAAAGGGGAGGAATAGCGAATAGGAGTGGAGTTGGAGATAACTAGTCGACACATGGCTGCATACAAAAAAAATGAGTTTGCTTGCCCTTTATAGAAGTAGGAAAATCAATACAGTTGATAGGCGGTGTATATCTTCAATCGGGAAATTCATTATAGGTGATAGGCTGTGTACATTTTTGTAGCGATGGTTGAGGTTGTAGTCAACAGATTTTCAGTTGGAATAGGATGACAGAAAAGGTTTTTACTTTTTTGCCTCGAGGAAACAAAGCAATAGCAATGGGTATAGTAATTTGGTTTTAAAACCGTCGGTTAATTCTTTCGTCGAAGTAGTCATGGTGGTAAATTGATTAATTTATTCCACAAACTGTGTATATATTTGTGTTGAGTTTTGACCCTTATGTTTTTCTTTGTTGCTGCATGATGTGTTGACTTTGTAATCTGATATGATTACTGCAAAAAACATCGGACGAGCACAGGAGCACTTGATATTCTGAGGGAATCAACAGGCAAATTTATTTTATTTTTAGGTATACAAGGCGGGCATCAAGCCCAGAAAAGAAACAACCAGCAGGAACCACAAAAAGAAAAGCGAATAAATGATCGTACCTTGAATACTTGATGACAACCCTAATTTCCCGAGAAAATCTGTATTTTGATTAGACCCGCGAGGGGTATCTCTGAATTGCACAATCCAGTCTCTACACAGCCAATAACTGGTTTTAGGAGTGATTTCACCAAATGATGGTAGTTGAAAGCTGAGCAGGTAAAGGTGAGAATATGTATGTGATCTTTCTCAATATCATTTTTTGAAGTGATTTAAAGCTATATCCGTACTGAATAAAATTTCATCCCATGAAAAATACTTGTGATTTATCAAAAAAAAATAAAAATAGCAATGCCCTTTCAATATGACACATAGTTCAGCATTACTGATGCCGATAAAATGAGTGAATCCCCCGAGCCATTGTCTTGATGCATGGCGAATCAGCATGGCCACAGCATGATGAGTAACTTCACCATCAAGATTAATTGTGTGCCAACCCTCTTTCGGTAGCTGCCAACCAACTGACCTGTCAATGTACTCAGAAGAAGAAGATTTGCTTCTTATAACATCTGCAATGTAAGAGAGGATAACATCATGGGGTGATCAAGACGGTGCCGTTTGCATTATGAACAATCATGTTCCTCCACTTCCAAAGGAACTAGTAGCAAATGTAAAAATTTAAAAATAAAAAAAGCAAACATATTTCCATTCAATAGTAGTCCCCACAGACCAACGGAGACTGAGATTAAGTCTAAACCAATCATCCAGGGAGGAAGAAAAGAATGTGGTAGGGGGCTGGATCCGAAACCAAATTCTCCAGAGATTGGTAGCATGGTGACAATTGTTGGGTTTGCTCTTTTACTAAAGCTCAAATGGGTTATTAGTATGAGAAGAGCCTAAGGAACCTAGAGCCCAATGAGTTAGGGTTTCTTGGAATCCATATAAATAGTATCACTTAAGTCATCAGCCTCCGAGGTCTTTTGTGAGAAAGAGGCAAGCTCAGAATCTGATTGGTGCCCACACACTTCCCCTTCCTCCTCGAGAGATAGTTTGAAAGATCTACCACAACAGTTTGTGAGTTCATGCTGTGACGCAAAGGACTCAAGCGTGTGGAACATCATCATCTCACATATGCGCCATCAAAGAGGTAATTGATAAAATCATGATGATCCTTATACATCCAAATCACAATGGTCTCATACGCTTCCGCAGATGCAATTGCTCCTACAATTGGTATCAGAGCTGGATTGTGTTTTTGGATGTGGAACTAGTTTTATTTTACGTTTATCATGTAATTTGTTTTGCTTCATAAAATATAGCACCTAGGTTTCTATATTTGTTATTATTGGCATGTGTATCCTTTATAATTCTTTTTATAAAATTCAATGTTTTTATTTGATTTTTGGCTTTAATCCATGGTAGAGATTTGGTTGTATTTTCTTGGGTTGTAACAAGGAGGCTGATCAGAACAGATTTTTACAACTGGGCCGATCATGTGATCTTCCTCTACACAAAGGCCTGGAACCTCCTTGGGTCAGAGCATCTTGCAGTTTGGAGTTTGGAGCAGTTTTAACCCATGGGTCTTCTATGGAACGCGATGGGGGGTGTACTGCAAGACACTCCGACGCTCAAGTCAGTTATGGTTCAAGCAGGTTTAATTACGCAGGAGAAGATGATATACCTTAGTGTTGATACATGTATTTATAGTGGAGAGATGTGCAGCTTGGAGGGTGCCTTTCTTCATGGTGAAGGCAAAGGTTCCTCTCTATTGGTTCTTGTGGGTGGCTGAGATAAGATGCAGTTTGCTTGTCTTGGTGCCAAAGTATTAGAGCTGCCATGTTTAATGTTGAGGAGCTTGATGAGATAAGGCCATTAATATTGTGCAGCTTGATGGCTGTCATGGAGCTTGCTGTTATAGATGAGATAACAGCTTGTGGAGTTTGCTATCTGTCATGGTGCTTTTAATATTATGGAGCTTGTAGCCTTCTTGGACTAAGGCTTTGCTTCATTATGAAGGCTTTTAGTTTGGGCCTTGTATTTGTATAATAATTATCCAGATCAGAAGCCCCCCAGCTCGTTGCTTATGCCGAAGGCATGAGGAGCGAGATGTATAAGTCTGCGAGATGATTTGTCTGTGTATCAACCTGGAAAATTCATTGCGCTTGTTCCTTTATCTGGAACTATGGTTTGTACTTTGTATGGGTGCTTGAGAGCTGTATATTTGGATCCTTCATTTTGATACAATTCATAATTCATAATGTATATATTTTGCATACCTTTTATCGCGCTAGAACTTGGAGTATCGCGCTTGAACTTGGAGGATCCTTTAGGGACATCCTGTAGGTTGAAGGACCCTTTTGGAAGGACCCTGTTATTTGGTAGGATCCTTAGGAGGAATCCTGTTACTTGGAGGATTTTTGGGAGGAATCCTGTTACTTGGAGGATCCTTGGGAGGACCCTGTTACTTGATAGGATCCATGAGAGGAATCCTGTTACTTGGAGGATCCTTGGGAGGACTCTGTTACTTGATAGGATCCGCGAGAGGAATCCTGTTATTTGGAAGATCCTTGGGAGGACCCAGTTACTTGATAGGATCCGTGAGAGAAATCCTGTTATTTGGAGGATTCGTTGGGGGAATCCTGTAATTTGATAGGATCCTTGAAAGGAATCCTGTTATTTGGAGGATCCTTGGGAGGACCCTGTTATTTGATAGGATCCGTGAGAGGAATCCTGTTATTTGGAGGATCCTTGGGAGGGCCCTGTTATTTGATAGGATCCGTGAGAGGAATCCTGTTATTTGGAGGATCTTTGGGAGGACCCTGTTATTTGATAGGATCCGTGAGAGGAATTCTGTTACTTGGAGGATTCGTGTGAGAATCCTGTTATGTTCTTCATTGCGCTTTGGCTTGGAGGACTTTTCTTCTGTTTGGTGAAACCTGTAATTTTCATAGATCTCACAGAATAATAACATTATATCATGGAGATGATAATTGTAACAAGATCATGTTAAAATAATAATGTTGCTAATAGGAAATGTAGCATTTGTTGTTGAGTTTGTCGGTGTTTCACGCGAGGTTTTTGTCTTCTCCTTTTGGTAGGCAAGGAGCCCTGCAATCTCTTATGGATTTCACAATAGAAGTAGTTAAGATAACTCAAGATAAGAGTATATAAATCAGATAAACTTTTCTATGTCTATCTGCATTCTTAGTGAGATTTAATATCTTCAGTGTTCATGAATCCTTGTAGGCGAGATTCAAGTCTTCCCTTTTCTTTATTCATGGATCCCTGCGTATTTCACAACAAAACACAAGGCAGAAATACATCACAGCTTTTATCCCGTGATCATCCTTCATCGCGCTATGATAAGTTGTACGCACGCTATAACTATATTTGCAATTTGCAAGATGAGTCTTGCGTTCAAGCATCGTGCTTAGATATATGAGATATTCTAGCAGAATAGTCATCAGTCAAGTCTAACAGTTCGTATAAGACTTTGGTGATCATATACATCGCATACCTTATCAATGACAATGTATTGTAGAAATAACCAATTTTAAAGCTGTTTGTAGATTTTGACCGACATATGACCTTATGCACATCATTTGCGCAATAATCGAATATTGCCATCTTATATGCGCAATATAACATTACAGAGGGTATACCAAAAAATCATGTTGCGAACATATAACATGTTTTGTCAACCAATATGCAATTGCCGACACTGTTTTTGCCGACATAGGTTTCAGCTCTTAATAATATGCATTGGACTTTTATGCCATTTCATGATTTCTACCTGGTCAATCTTGTCAACAACCCAAATTTCATGAGAAAGCATTATCTCATATATATGACCATCTATGGCTCTTCCTAATACCACTATATCAGCGAGTGTGCCAGTATAGCGCTGATATGTAATGACTGTTGACGTGATCGAAATGCATAATCATATTGCCATAGTCGTAATTCCATGAAGACTAGTACTTAAAATTTCCAACCTAGGTAATGAACCATACTCGTGAGAAGAGCGCGCAATATATATACTAACTTAAGAGTTAATATATCAACTGAAGAGTTTAATCTACCCACGCGCGATGTAACCGGTAGGAGTGACACGATGACATGCGCGATGTAATTACCAGAGTAACAGGATGACATGCGCGATGAACCTTATCGGAGGATAAGGTTCCATGGCATGTTGATAACAGTATGACATATTGTGCCATGACTTTGAATTCAACTTTCAGCATAGCGGGTCCACATGGTTTTTCACAGGTTATTAATAACTTTTATGTGGAACTATATATATGCAATATGCTAATAATATTCCTAAGGAGAATGGAACGTAACCCAACCTAGATAAAGTTGGTTCAAATAATCTTGGACTAAAGTCAGTAATAGATATGTACGAGAAATAGTTCCGATCTTCACTGGTGCATGTCGTGACAGGTGACGCATGTACTAGGTATAGGAAAGTCATCCTAAGATCTAATCAAAGACATGCAGCGCCACAAAATGACAAGAAATCTCAAAGATAAAAGACTCACCAATCTCCCTTCAGACATTTCAAACACCTTGGTAACTGTCTTTTCTAGATAATGGTAAAGTCGGCAATATATATTCTACACAGTAATATTCACCGCGTTCATGAATATATGGATTAATATCTATCATACTTATATCTATCTCAAATCATATAAAACCTTTAACACCTCGTAACCTTTCCAGGATTGATTTCGTGGGATAAACAGCCACAGTGTATCCAATAAATACAGCTTCCTAATTATATCGCG